CGCCTCCTCCTCCTCCTCCCGCGCCCCCTCGCCCCTCGTGCTTCCCTCCGCCTGGGCGGGGAGGCGTTTGGCCTCCCCCCCGCGGCACGGAGGAGCAAGGCCGACCAGGGCACATGGCGCTGCCATACTTAACAGCGCCCCGTCGTCGTCGTCGTCGTCGTCGTCGTCGTCGTCGTCGTCGTCGTCGTCGTCGTCATCGTCGTCGCAGTCACTGGGTCCTCCTCCTTCAGCGTGCCAACACCCCTGACGAAGAAGCCAGGACCAGGATAAAATCTCGGGGGTTGCTAAAGGTTTCCCTGGCCAAGGGTGCCCCCAGCTTTTCGCTTCACTCTGGAGGCCGTTGGGGCCTGCTTGGAAATCCTGGAGGCACATTGGACCAGGGGCACATCTAGCAACACCCGAAACTCGGGTGAGGACAAATCGAGACTCTCTGAAATGCGGCGGCTCTGGAGGATGTCTCGGGCGCCGTTGCCTCCTCAGAGCATTGCGGAACGCTCTGAGAGCGTTCTGGAACGCTCTGGAACGGACTTATCCTCGTCCTAACCCCGTCCGAAACACCGGTCGTCGTCGTCGTCGTCGTCGTCGTCGTCGTCGTCGTCGGTGACGTCGTCGTCGTCGTCGTCGTCGTCATCGTCGATAACGGCGTCATCGATGTCCTCATCGTCGTGGATCGTCGTCGGTGACGTCGTCGTCGTCGATGATGTCGAAGGGATCGTCATTGTCGCCGCCGCCGCCATCGTCCTCGTCGCAACTTGTTTCGCAACGGGCATCTTCGCCCGGATTGCCGGCCCCGCGGCCCTCGCAGGTCGATCTTGCGCGAAGCGAGCCGCGGGGCTCCGTTCGTGAGCTTCGGGCGGGTGGTAGTTGAGGGTGGCTTGGATCGGCACGAGCGAAATGGGTATGGAAAGAATGGGTGCAATGCCCAACAGCAGTTCCTGTTCATTTTGAACAGGACTCGCTGTCCGCGCCGCCGCGGCCTGTGCCCATTTGAGGCAGGAGGCCGCCTGCCCAACAGCGGCCGCTGCCGGTTTGGGACAACATTTGCTGTTGGGCAGTGTGCCCATTCTTTCCGTGCCCAATTCGGGCGTCCAAACTGGGTTTTGGGGGGTGCAGAAACATGCCCTGAAATCAAGCAGTGGCGAAGCGTCCTGGCTCGCCTATAGCCCTACCAAACAATGTTCTAAGAATCTTTTGTGGTTTCCACGAAATGTTCTTAGGACATTTCTGGTTGGGACTGTCTTGTTTTGACACATCGGGCTTATGCTCTAAGAACATTGCTTTTGTTCTTAGAGCATGTCTGGGCTCTAAGAACATTTCGTGGCATGACTGCAGGAGTGCCGGGACGGTCGGTCCCTGCTCAGTGAAAGAGCACCGCAGGGGCTCCACCTGGAGCCAGCAGGGGCCCCAGAAGGAGGGGCCCTCGAAGGGAAGGTCCCTCCCCCCCCGTTCCGCCCCCCCCCCCCCGTGGCCCCCCCCCCTCCTGGAGCGCAGACCAACCATCGCCTCGCCGAGCGATGCCTGAGAGCCTCCGAGTGTCTGCGGGCGAAGTGCCCCCGACCCAGACCTCGGGACGTACGCGCGGCCCAGAGAGAAGCGATGAGGCGCTCCCCGATCCTGTTCCTCGCCCCGATGCCGCCCCTACCTAACTACCGACCTACCTACCTGCCTACCTACCTACCTACCTACCGACCTACCTACCTGCCTGCCTGCCTACCTGCCCACCCACCCACCCACCCACCCACCCACCCACCTACCGACCTACCTACCTACCTACCTACCTACCTACCTGCGTACCTACTTACCTACCGACCGACCGACCGACCGACCGACCGACCTACCCACCTACCTACCTACCCTGTCAAGCTGCTCTGCGACCGCTATGGCTTGCCGACGCTGCCGATTTCTTACGACAGCGTCAAGGTCCCCCTCCCTCCTGCCCCGCAGACTCGGGTGTTGCTTGCAGCGCCCCTGACCCCAGGTGCCCTCAGGATCCCCAGGGAGGCCCCCAGAGGCGTCCAGAGCACCCCCCGCGAGGCCACGACGGCCCCAGGGGTCCTGAAGTCGCTCGGAACGGCACGCCCCGAAGAGCAAGACGCGCTGGCGAGCAGCAGCGACGACGGGAAGGCAACGAAATCCTGCGCGCGCTGATTCCGGCAAGCGATCGCGCGAAAAAGTGCGCCCTGCGAGTTCTGCTGATGCGACCCCTTGCCGCAGGCCCGATCGCCCCCGGCACGGGAGAGGTCACGCCGGCGAGGTCCGCCGCTGCCGCCGGCGAGGTCCGCCGCTGCCGACCTGGGGAATCGCAGGCGATGACTAGGCTAAAAGCCGTTCGCAAAATCGTGCAGTTGCTGATGCAAATGGCATGCTTGATTCCGTTTCTGGCGCAAGTCCGCCGACCCCTCGTGGGTCTCCACGCGTGCGAGGGCGCTCCTCCCCAGAACTCTCCCCCAGGGAACACAGTGGAAATTTGACTCCCCTCCCCCCTCCTTCCCCCCTCCTCCTCTTCCTCCTCCTCCTTCTTATCATTCTTAGTATTCTTACTTTTAGTACGTGTGTCATTATTGCTCCCAGTCTTATTATCATTAGTATTGTTATTATTTCCTTATTCGTATAAGTCGTAATAGTATTACCAGTATTATTATGGCTATGTTTTATTATAAGTATTATTATGAGTATGATCATAATCTTCGTAATGTAATTATTCCTATTCCTATTCCTCTTCCTCTTCCTCCTCCTCTTCCCCTTCCCCTTCCTCTTCCACATCTTCTTCCTCGTCCTCGTCCTCTTCCTCGTCCCCCTCCTCCTCGCCCTCCTCCTCCTCCTCCTCCTCGTCATCGTCCTCCTCCTCCTCCTCCTCCTCCTCCTCCTCCTCCGCCTCCGCCTCCTCCGCTTCCTCCTCCGCCTCCGCCTCCGCCGCCTCCTCCGCCTCCGCCTCCGCCTCCGCCTCCGCCTCCTCTTCCTCCTCATCCTCCTCCTCCTACATCTGCTCCTCCTCCGCCTCCTCCTCCTCCGCCTCCTCCTCCTCCTCCTCCTCCTCCTCCTCCTCCTCCTCCTCCTCCTCCTCCCCCCCCTTGGGGACGAGCGCGTCATGGGGGGGGGGATCGAGGGCCCCCAAAAAGGGCCAGGAGGGGCCCTAAGAGGCCTTCAAGACGGTCCAGGAGGGCCCCGAGTCGCCGAACGACCGTCCACGCCCAAGACTGCCCCGAGACGGCCCAAGATGCCCCCAATGCGCCCCAAGAGGCCTGAGGTAAACATCAAGGAGTTCCTTTAGATCGGATTTGGGCGGTCTCGCCTTTTCGTGTCTGCGATGCTCCAAGACGGCCTTAAAGGCCCCCAAGATCGCCCCAAAACGGTTCACGAGGCGCCCCCAAAAAACCAAAACAGCCCAAGAGGATTCCAAGATGGCCCAGGAAGTCTCCAAGACAGCCCAAGACGCCCCCCAGATGGTTCCACGAGGGTTCCCAGACGAGGGATCCGCACGGAGATTTTGAGCTTCGGCATCGGGAGCCCCCAGGATGCCCCCAAAAGGCTCCCCAAAGGCCCCAAGATACCCTCAGCAGGGGCCCAAGAAACCCGAAGAGACTGCCATGAGGCTCCCAAGAGGCCCCCGCAAGGCTCCCAAGAGGCCCAAACGAGTGTTCCGAAGGGACCTCACGAAGCATCCCCGAGGATCCCGACCCACAGCCCAGGCACGGTGGCGGCCTGTGCTGACGGCCAGAACATTTCCGATGGTCCCAAAGACCGAAGGAGGCTTCCGGAGGGCGCTCCATGAAAACCTTCCCGAAATCGGATATCGACGAAATCCTTTGACCTGTAGCTCGTGGGCCTTCAACCGCGGCAGGCACACTCTTCCTCGTCCTAGTCCTCGCCCTCGTCCTCGTCCTCGTCCTCGTCCTCGTCCTCCTCCTCGTACTCCCCCGCCTGCCCCTCGACACCTTCGATCATCCAACGTGCTACATCGGGCACTCAGGATCGTCGTCGGGCCACGGGATCATCAGAAACGGATCCTCCTCTCCCTCTTCCTTTTCCTGCTCCTCCTCTTCCTCGTCCTCCGCCTTTCACGCCGTTGTGTCACTGCACGATTTCCGTTTGGCCTTCACATGAATGCACCTCGCTCAGCAGATGGTCCGGATCGTTCTCTGCTGCTGATTTTCTTCCTCCTCCTCCTCCTCCTCCTCCTCCTCCTCCTCCTCGTCGCCCGCGCCCTCGCCGACTCGACATACTCGGCCCTCGGATGGTGCGAGTTCATATTTGGAATGAACGATGGGGCATAATCATGTGGAGATTGCAAATCCCCAGTGGGGCGGATAGTCCCGCCCCCGTGGGGCGGTAGATCGGAATTCCCTTTTTAGAATGGAGAAGATATATTGTGCAACCTACGTGGTGCAATCAATGGGTGGCGACGAGGCGGCGACGAGGCGAGCACGGAACCGCCAGACTGCCAGCCAGGCCCACTCCTTTAGACAATAAGTACGAAACCCTAATTGCAAGCAGTGTTTGGGGAAAAGTTGCTTCCTCCATCTCTCTTTTCTTTTCGCCATCATCACCATCAACATCGTGTTGATCACTCTTCCTTTCTCTTCCTGCCTCGTTCCCCCTCCTCGCTCTCTTTCTTCGGTTCCTCCTCCTCCTTCTTGTCCTCTTCCTCCTCCTCCTCCTCCTCCTCCTCCTCCTCCTACTCTTTCTCTTCCTCCTTATTCTCCTCCTCCTCCTCCTCCTCCTCCTCCTCCTCCTCCTCTCACTTCTCCTCCTCCTCCTCCTCCTCCTCCTCCTCCTCCTCCTCCTCCTCCTCCTCCTCCTCCTCCTCCTCCTCCTCCTCATATTCATCCTCATCCCCCCCTCCCCCTCCTTTTCCTCCTCCTCCTCCTCCTCCTCCTCCTCCTCCTCCTCCTCCTCCTCCTCCTCCTCTCCCTCCTTTTCCTCCTCCTCCTTCTCCTCATCATACTCCTTGCCCGCCCCTCGTTTCTCGCCATTGACCCGCGCCCTCGACCCGCGACCAGGCCAAGGGCGTCCTCTACTGCTACGACCGCGCCACCAGCGCCTGCAGTCCCGTGTGGGCGGCATGCAGTCCGCACGTGAATGCACAGGTCGGTGCCTGCTCCTCGTCCTCCTGCTCCAGGTGATGTTCCTCCCGCTGCTCCGGGTGCCGTTCCTCCTGCTCCTCAGCCTCCGCCTCGTCCTTCTCCGGGTGCTGCTCCTCCTGCTTCTGCTCCCGACCGTGCCCCTCCCAACAGCTTCCTACGCCGTCCGCCACTCCTCCTCGCCCTCTCCGCCTCCTCCTCTTCCTCCTCCTCCTCCTCCTCCTCCTCCTCCTCCTCCTCTCCTCTCTCCTCATTCTCGTCCTCCCAATTATCCTTCCTTCTCCCTCCAATCCTCCCTCCTCCTCTCCTCCTCCTCCTCTCTCCTCCTCTCCTCCTCCTCCTCCTCCCTCCTCCTCCTCCTCCTCCCCCCCCTCCTCCGCCTCCTCCTCCTCCGCCTTTTCTTCCCCCTGATGAATGAACCCCTTCGGGCACGATCGGCCACCTCTTCCCCCCCTCCTCCTACCACTCCTGCTCATCCGACTCCCGCTTTTCCTCCATCTTCTCCTCCTCCTCCTCCTCCTTCACCCTCCTTTTTCTTCTCCTCCTCCTTCTACTCCTTCTCCTCATCCCGCACCCATCCTGCTCACCCCACCCCCATTCACTCGCCCCTCCGCCCCGAAGTGTCCCCTCCGGGGGCACTGGGGCGAAGGTGGAAGGAAGGGGAGGGAAAGTCTGGGAGGAGGGGGGACCTCCGCTCGCTCCTCCGGCAACGCCCCGCCCCCCCTCCCATTCCTTGAGACCCAACGTTGCGAAAACATGACCCTGCGACGAAACCAACCATCTGCATGAAGTGGCAAGAGCAGTTGGTCCCAAATAGCACTGCTGATGGCAACGCAGGATCGGCCATCTGCTGCGCAAGCCAGATGGGGAGCGCGCTCGCAACTCACGACTCACAGGATAGCAGCAGAAGGGCGAGGATTGATGCCCCAAGTTCGAAGAGGAAATGGGGGCAGGAGCGACGGGCAGGAAAAGGACGGAAGGGTGGCGGAATAGTTACAGCGATTGCACCAGTGAGGCGGTGGACGGAGGAAGAAGACGACAACGAAAGAGACATTGTGAGGAAGGAGGGTATCGTTTCCCAAGGACAAGGTGGAAAAGCAGCGCGATCCGCAACATGTCGCGCTGGCGCTCCAAGGAGCCAACCGTTCAAAGCGAATGCAAGAAGCGAGCGAGGCCGAGCTCGACCGCCAAGTTCTCCGTTTCCTTCCTGCACCTTGCAAAGCTGTAGTTGAACGTCGCAGGCGCGCCGTCAGATCTTCAGGTGGCCCGCGGGAAAGCAAATCAAGGCGAACCTGAGACCGCGTAGGACGTCATTTGCTGGACCTCCCAGCAGCCTTCAAAAATGGCGACAATTTCGCAGTTCGTAACCTCCCAGGGATGGTGAGGTCTAAGATCGGCCAGCGTAGGACGCCAGCATGGTAACCCCCTCATCAGCTTTTGACAGTGGCGACAGTATCGCAGCTCGCACCCCACAGATACGGAGAGATTGAATTTGAGCTTGCGTAGGATGTCATTCATTTGGACCCCCTAGCGCCCTTCGAAAGTGGCGACTGTTTCGCAGATCGCAGCCCCCAGGGATGGCGAGGTCTATTCTGAGTCAGCGTAAGATGAAACTGTGCTGGGAAGCACAGCAGCTCCCGAAAGTGGCTATAGTTTCGCATCACGCGACCCTCCAGGGATGGCGGAGTCTAGTTAGAGCACGCCGTCAAACATGGCGACATACATTACCAGGACGCAGCCACTCAATAATTTGAGTCCGCGCAAGACGTCGCTCCGCCGGACCCCAGCAGCTTTCAAAAGCAACACCAAGTTTGCATTTCGCAGCCCCCCAGGGATGGCGAGGTCGAATATGAGTTCGCGTACGAAATTACCCTGCCGGACCCCCCGGCAGCCTTCAAAAGTGGCGACAGTTTCCCAGGTCGCAGCCACCCAGGGACGGCGAGGTTTAATTTGAGCCCGCGTAGAATATCACCCCGCTGGATCCCCCAACGGCTCTCGAGATTGGCGACCGTCTCGCACTGTAGCAGCCCCCCAGGGACGGCGCGGTCGAATTTGACTCCGCATAAGACGTTGCTCCGCTGGGCACCCCCAGCAGCCCCCAAAAGCGGCGCCCGCTGGACCCATCAGCAGCTCAGAAAAGTGGCGACAGTTTCGCAGCTCGCACCCCACAGGGACGGTGAGATCTAATTTGAGTCTGCTTAGGACGTCACGCAGTACCCCCCAGCAACATTCGAAATTGGCGAACGGCTCGCAATTCGCAGCCCCCCAGGGATGGCGAAGTCCACGTTGTAAGACGTCATTCTTTTAGACCCCCCAGCAGCCTTCAAAAGCGGCGGCAGTTTTGCAGTTCACAGGCCCACAGGAATGGCGCGGTCTGGTGTGAGTCCGCGTAACACGTCGCTCCGCTGGACCGCCCAACAGCCGTTGAGAGTGGCGAGCGTTCCGCAGATCGCAGGCCCCCAGGGAGCCCCCAGGCAGGACGGCGAGGCAGGAGGGCAGGGTAGCAGGCAGGCAGGCAGGAGGGGGTAGGAGACGAGAGGCGGGAGGCGGGAAAAGACGCTCGCGCAGTGTTGCAATTCACTCCGAACGAGAACCCAACGCAAGGGGGACGGGAGGCACAACATCGCGGACAAAAAACACGACTGGAGCCCTGGACCTTGTCTTTTCTGCTTCCTTTTTTGAGCTGGGTCGACTCGTGATTGCCCCAGGGGCCGACACAGTGCGAAAACGCTTTGCGTGAAAGGATCACCGCCAGGACCTGGAGGCCCCCCCGCCCCCGCCCCCGCCTGCCGTAGTTCGGCTCTCCGGCGGCCGTTTGGGACGATCCGGGCACCCCGGGAACGCCCTCGGCGAGGCGCAGCCGCTGGAAGACATCCCGAGGCTGGAAAGCCGCCGAGAGCCGACGAAAGCGCCCGAGAAGCCTCGAAGCTCAAAGCTCCGCGCCCCCCCTTCTGGAAGCAGACGCACAGAGAATCCTCCCCCCCCTTGGCCGCCCACCCGAAGGTCTGGGAGACGCTCCCGCTGCCGCCCACCGACCCTGCGAGCCTGCAGGGCCGCCAGGCCGCGCAGCGGGGGCCGGCGCAGGCGCTCTGTGTGCTGCACCTGTCGCGGTCGGGGGCCATGCGGCGGGCCCGCGTGGCGTCCGCCCACTTCTGCAGGACGGGGGCGGGTCAGGGGGGCCTCTTCTGGGGAAGCGGACGATGACGTAAACAAAAAATACTCGGAGCTCCGCGCGGATTTCTCGGATCGGCGCTTGGGCGGCCCCCCGGCGGCGCCTCCGGCGCCGCCCCTGGCGCGCTCCGCGCGCTAGGGAGGGGAGTCCAGCGCGGATCCAGGAAATCCGCGCGGGCCTCCGAGTTGTTATGTTTATGTAATATTTCGTTCCCCTATCTTTATTCCACAATGCGGCCTGTCCGGTGCGTACCCTATGTCCTTTACAGGGCCATCTGACTTGTTCCGATTCCGTGTGCCTTGCCATCTCTGCGGCGCCCGCCAGGCTTTATTAGTTTGTTATCGGCCCGCGTCGGCGTCTGGCACCCTCCTTTTTTGCACACCCAGAACGCAACGATTCCAGATCCATGTCCGTGCAACGTCCTCCTCCTCCTCCTCCTCCTCCTCCTCCTCCTCCTCCGTAGCCATTTTGGCTCAAGATGGGTTGCTCGGGGGGCTTTCAGCCTCCGTGCTTCACTGGATCGCACTACCGTGCGCAGGCAAGAGTGTGTGCACTCTGGCAGTCGGGCGGCCTCCTTCCAAACTCACGCGCGCCATGGCGGGCAGCGGCGGCGTGGGTGCTGGGCGTGGGGGAGGCGGCCGTGCGGCGTGGCCTGCGAAGTGGAAGTGCTCGGTGTGCGACTACTACAACTTCGCCGAGAGGACGTGCTGTCGCAAGGGGTGCCAGCCAGCGGGGTGGCCAGCGCCGCGGCAGCTGGGCGCCTTTCCTCCGCTGCGTGGGTGGAATGCAGGCGGCGGCGGTGGTGGTGCTCCTGGCGGCGCTGGCGGCGGGCTCGGCGGGCGTGGGGCTGGCGGCGGCAAGTCTCCCACTCGTGCCCCGTGGTGGCGTGGTGGAGAAGGTGGCGGCCGTGACGCTGGAGGCGCCGTGGTGCTCAGCGAGGAGCAGCGCTGTGGCTTCGTGTGCATGGCAGAGGCCGACTTCGCCCTCGCCGCCGCGCTCCTGCCCCCGAAGGTCCGCGAGCAGCTGCTGCAGGCGCGGAGGCTGCGTGAGGGCGGACTGGGGGCCGAGCTGTCCAAGGACAAGACGGTCAAGGCGGCCCAGGTGCTGGCGGACGCCAAGGTCGTGCAGGTCAAGAAGATGGAAGGCCAGCTGGAGCAGGCGAAGGCCAAGGCGGTGGCAGCCATCAACGAGTCGGCCAGCCTCGCGGACAAACTGGTGCTGCTGCGGAAGGAGTGCGACGAGGCGGCGGCCAAGGCACGGGAGGCGCTGGCGGCTCAGCGCGCCAGGTTGGCGGCCGAGGAGGCTGAGGTGGCGGCAGCTGCCGCCGAGCCGAGGGCAGCACCAGCGGCCTCCCTGGAGTCGATTCAGGAGGCGATCGGCCGCCTGTCGAGGGACGAGATCGCGAAGCTCGGGAAGGTGCTGGCGGAGCTCAGTGGCTTGCCTGGCGCTGCCGCCGCTGCGGGGGCGCCCCCCCGTGCGCCTGTGGCTGCGGCGGTCCCCGTGCCATCGGCGGTGCCTGCAGCTGCGCAGCAGGTGGACGCCCCCAAGGAGGAGGCGCCTGGAGTGTCGCAGGCGGCGGCGCAGGTGTGGCAGGACATCGCGTGCGGCATGGAGGACCCCGCCAAGAGGGAAGCAGCCGAGCAGCTGCTGGGCGACGCCAAGAAGATGCGGACGGAGGTCAAGCAGATGGAGGAGGAGTCCTAGCATGAAGTGCGGGGTCTGGAGGATCTGCACGGTCAACGTCAATGCGTTCTGCAACCTGGGCAAGTGCATGGCGGTGAGCGAGGTGCAGGACTGCGACGCCATTCTGGTCCAGGAGACGAGGCTCCTGGAGGGCAGGAGCAGTGACGCGGAGGCGCAGCTGCGGAGTCAAGGATGGAGGGCGAGAGGCACGCCCGCGGTGCCGTCAGCGGCAGGAGGCCTCAGCACAGGTGGCCTCCTCACAATGGTGAGGAGGAGCCACGGCATGGCGGAGGTGCAGGACCAGCAGGCAGCGGTGCTGGTGGCTGGGCGAGTGCACCTGTGTTGGGTGTCGGGCGTGCTGCGCAGCGGCTTCCTCCTCGCCAACATCTACCTGGAGGCGGGGGTCGGCCTCAGCGACAGCAACGTGTCCAGCCTCAGGAGGCTGGCAAGGAGGTTGAGGCAGTGCCGCAGGGACTTCGTAGTGGGCGGCGATTGGAACCTCACGGAGGAGGAGCTGCAGGCAGGCGGGGTGCCCGACATGTTCGATGGCAAGGTGGTCAGGCCTGCATCGCCCACGTGCGCAGCATCAGGGAGGACCATCGACTTCTTCCTGGTATCCAAGGGGCTGGCTGCGTTGGGGGTGCGGGTGGTGGAGGCCTCGCCAGTGTACCCGCACTCGGCTGTGATTCTCGAGATCCGCAGGCAGCAGGAGGAGGAGCGCTTCAGGCTGGTCCAGAAGCCGCGGACCTTTCCTGAGGTTCGACCACAAGGGTGCTGTGAGAGGGACCACGGCAGCAGATGGAGGCAAGCCAGGCTGAGGGTGCAGGAGCAGCTCGCCTCGGTGCTGAGGCTCGAGGGCGAGGCCGCGGCGAGGAGCACCCCATGTGCAGAGGAGGAGGCCCCTCAGCCCAGCAGCAGTGGTGGCGCAGCAGGACAGCGTGCAGCAGGTCAGGAGCCCCCCAGGCCAGCGAAGGGCACGGGAGATGAGGGGATGGCTGCGGCGGAGAGATGGGGGCCGCTAAGCAGCGTGCTCCCGATCGCACCTGCGCCACCGGCCTACGTGACGGAAGTGAACCTGATGAGGTGCTGCGTCCAGCATGGCGAGGAGTGGCAGAGCATCCTCGGCAACTGCGGGCTAAGGCGAGAAGCTGGCGCGGAAGGGCACGGCGCAGCACCAGGCGGTGAGCACCAGCCAGCGCACCTCGGAGCCCTGGCGCCAGGAGCGCAAGGCGCCGACGCAGCGGACAGAGGAGGCAGCGACGCTGCGAGCAACGCTGCGCAGGAGGCGCGGGCGGACATACCTCCCCATGCTGGGACTGGCAGTGCACCTCCGAGCCAGGCACTGTACGGAATCGCAGGTTGGCCCTTTCAGGTTGATGCGGCTGAAGGAGTGCACGTGAGGCCCCCCGGCCTCTGGGTCGAGAAGAGGCAGGCGACCTCTGCCGCCGAGGAGGAGGCCGCTCAGCCCAGCAGCAGCGGTGCAGCACCTCGCGGCGAGGTCCAGCCAGCGCACCTCGGGGCTCGGGCGCCAGGAGCGCATGGCGCCGACGCAGCGGAGAGTGAGGGCAGCAGTGCCGCGGGCAGCGCTGCGCAGGAGGAGCAGGCAGACATTCCTCCCCATGCTGGGACTGGCAGTGCACATCCGAGCCAGGCACCGTACGGAATCGCGGGTAGTCCCCTTCAGGTTGAAGAGGCTGAAGGAGTGCACGTGAGGCCCCCCAGCCTCTGGGTTGAGAAGAGGCAGGCAGCCTCCGCGGAGGGGCAGGCCCTGCACCTGCAGCAGGACGTGCGGGCCCAGGGCGCCGCGGGGGAGGGGGCTAAGGGAGCCCTCACAGCCGCCTTCGCCACCTTCCTGGAGTGCGCGGAGGACGAGTGGGTCGACGTATACCAGCTGGAGGAGCAGAGGGCCAGGTACGTTGGTAGAGCGGACGGCTTCTCCACCAAGCTGGTCAAGCGCAGCGGGGTGCAGGACCCCAGGTCGCCGAGGCTCACGCCTGAGGCGGCGTGGATGGCCAGGGTGGCCCACGCGCTGGGGGCCATGGCGCAGCTGAAAGCACCAAGGGCCAGGGTCGACGCGATCTGCTACTTGCCCCAGCTGGTGGCGGCGGCCCCGAAGAGAGTCAGGAAGCTGCAGCAGGACGAGGAGGCCCGCGCAGGGGAAGGAGGCGGCACCTCCTGCAGCATGGAGGCTGGGCGCTGGCTGAGGATGCTGCAGCATGGGGGCCTGGCGTGCTGGCACCCCCTGCTGCTCGAGAGGCTGGCCGACCGCGCGAAGCAGCACGCCAGCCACCTCGCCAAGCGCGATGTCGACGAGAGGGGCAGGCAGTTCGACGAGTGGGTTGGGAAGCAGCTCACAGGAGGAGCGGCAGGGCTCCACGCGGTCACGCGAGTGGCGGTGGGCTGGCAGGGCAGCGACTGCAGCATCGATGATGGACCCGCCAGCCTGAGCAAGGAGCTGGACGACCTTGAGAAGGAGTGGAGCAAGATCTGGAGGGTGCAGTGCAGCCACGCAGAGTTGGAGTGGCCGACCGATCTAGGAGAGCGCCCCCCCAGGCCCAGCGGCGAGGTGATGCGGGCAGTCCTGAGGTCCTTCAGGAAGGGCACGGCCACGGGTTTCGAGGCGATCAAGCCGAGGCAGCTGCTGGAGCTCAGCGACGAGGGGATAGAGACCCTCATCGACATCGTGGTGGCGGTCGAGCAGGCCGCGGAGTGGCCGCAGATCCAGAGCAAGATCGTGTTCTTGGCCAAGAGGCTGGGCGGCGTGCGCCCCGTGGCCATCGTGCACGTCCTCGCGAGGGTGCAGACGAGGTTACGCAAGCCCCTGGCGGAGGAGTGGGAGCGCAGGAATGATCGGCCGTTCTTCTGGGCGGCGCGCGGCAGAGGCTGCGAGAGGGCAGTCTGGCAGCAGGCCGTGGAGTGCGAGTGGGCGACAGCGAAGGGGCGCGAAGCTGGCGATGCATCCAGCTGGGTCGCGGCCCTCATCCTCCTGGACCTGCTCAAGGCGTACGAGCAGGTGCAGCATGGGCGCCTCATCCAGGCCGCCCAGCGGACGGGCTTCCCGCTCTGGCAGCTCAAGTTGCAGGTGAGTTTGTATCGAGCGCCCAGGTGGCTGGCGCGGGACGAAGCCGTCAGCAACGCCATCTGCACCGAGCAGGCGGTGCTGCCTGGAGACGGGTTGGCGACGCTCATGCTCAAGATGTTGCTGCTGGAGCCGCTGGACAAGCTTCAGGAGCTGGTGCCCACGCTGGCGATGTCGGTGGTCGTGGACGACATCATCTTGAAGAGGGTGGGCGGATTCAAGCG